GGAGCCCTGGATGAAAATCACAAAGGGCACAGCTTCATCTAGTGGTTACACCCTGCTTCTGCACACAGGCTCAGTAGCAGCAAAGCAGTAACTACAAGGACAGAAACAACCTTCCAAAACACTAATTCTGAACTGTGGCGGCAGGCCGACACCAAGAGACGAAGGCCCATCAGAGGGGAGCGAGATCTGTCTTTGCTGGAGAATGTGAGTTTATGCAAAAAATCCATTATTTCCCAACGTGCACTGGAGGATACAGAACTCTATTCTTTAATGTAAGTAAAAGTTCTACAAAAAAGAGGGATGGGCAAGGACATCAACAAAAAACGGGGGCAAGAAAAAAAGCTCCAACAACCCTCAAGAAGTTTCTATGAATAAACCAAACTGCTGACTAAAGGAGTAGCCTAGATGTCTAGAGCACCCTCCATCCCTTACATCAGATGTCAAGAGCTGCCCCCACAACTTCAAGTCAAGGGTTCGCAACTTCTAAAGGCAAGGGTTCCCCACCCTCCCTCAGTGCACCCCCTTACCCTGTGCTATAGCTCCCAACTGTCCCTGATTTTGAGGGGCAAGAAAAAAAGCTCCAACAACCCTCGAGAAGTTCCTGTGAATATACCAAACTGTTGACTGAAGGATATTATGCTCCAGGATAGCATCTGCGATGGCCACCTAGTAGAACTTAGTAAAGGTGAGGACCGAAGACCAGGTAGATGCCTTACAGGAACAGGAGATGTTAGCCAGACATAGGAAGGCCCATGAGATGCTCACCACCCCTGCTTAGATCCAGCAAAGCCAGGGAGAGAAGTCCTACTTCTTCGAGATACTAATGTAAACTGAAGATAGTTGCAGTGGCATGGCCTCCAGATCAGAGATGCCAAACCCAATTTCATAAGCATTATGGATGCCCTCAAAGGGCCGGTGGTATCTGTAAGCCTAGACGTCTAGAGCTCCCTCCATCCCTTACATCAGATGTCAAGAGCTGCCCCCACAACTTCTGAAGTCAAGAGTTCCCCACCCTCCCTTACATCACAGTGCACCACCCTTACCCTGTGCTATAGCTCCCAACTGTCCCTGATTTCGAGGAATTGCCCCTCATTTGGGACAAAGCCCCTCTGTCCCTCTTCCATCCTCATTTGTTCCTCATTTTGGTCTGATCTATACAGTTGTGTATAAACTGCACCATTTATCTATTAAAAAGTGCTTCCCAGGACATCAACAAAAAACAGGGCCAAGAAAAGAAGCTCCAACAATCCTCAAACTACCAAACTGCTGACTAAAGGAGTAGCCTAGATGTCTAGAGCACCCTCCATCCCTTACATCAGATGCCAAGAGCTGCCCCCACAACATCTGAAGTCAAGAGTTCCCAACTACTAAAGGCAAGGGTTCCCCACCCTCCCTCAGTGCACCCCCCTTACCCTGTGCTATAGCTCCCAACTGTCCCTGATTTCGAGGGATTGTCAGGGGCAAGAATAAAAGCTCCAACAACCCTCGAGAAATTCCTATGAATATACCAAACTGTTGACTGAAGGACATTATGCTCCAGGATAGCATCTGTGATGTCCACCTGGTAGAATCTAGTAAAGGTGAGGACTGAAGACCAGGCAGAAGCCTTACAGGAACAGGAGATGTTAGCCTGACATAGGAAGGCCCATGAGATGCTCACCACCCCTGCCTAGATCCAGCAAAGCCAGGGAGAGAAGTCCTACTTCTTTGGGATACTAATGTAAACTGAAGGTAGTTACAGTTGTATGGCCACCAGATCAGGGATGCCAAACCCAATTTCATAAGCATTATGGATGTCCTCAAAGGGCCGGTGGTATCTGTAAGCCTAGATGTCTACAGCACCCTCCATCCCTTACATCAGATGTCAAGAGCTGCCCCCACAAGTTCTGAAGTCAAGAGTTCCCCACCCTCCCTTACATCACAGTGCACCCCCCTTACCCTGTGCTATAGCTCCCAACTGTCCCTGATTTTGAGGGATTGCCCCTCATTTGGGACAAAGTCACTCTGTCCCTCTTTCATCCTCATTTGTCCCTCATGTTGGTCTGATCTATACAGTTGTGTATAAACTGCACCATTTATCTATTAAAAAGTGCTTCCCAGGACATCAACAAAAAACAGGGGCAAAAAAAAAAGCTCCAACAACCCTCGAGAAGTTCCTATGAATATACCAAACTGCTGACTGAAGGACATTATGCTCCAGGATAGCATCTGCGATGTCCACCTGGTAGAATCTAGTAAAGGTGAGGACCGAAGACCAGGCAGAAGCCTTACAAGCACGAGAGATGGAAGCCTGAGGTAGGAAGGCCCATGAGATGCTCACCATCCCTGCCTAGATCCAGAAGAGCCATAGAGAGAAGTCCTACTTCTTTGGGATACTAAGCTAAACTGAAGGCAGTTGCAGTGGCATGGCCGCCAGATCAGGACCAGTGGGTTAGCCCAAACATTTTTTTGTATAGTTCTCTTTTAAGAGGGGCATGGGCAGGGGGGTGTCTTATGCCTATATACTTTTGTTAATAGGAGTCCCTCATTCCAATCTCAGAAAGCTGGGAGATATGGTTGTGCTGCTGCCGGGAAGAATCTGGGGGTGGAGCAGGGAAGCAGAAAGTACTGGGTCTGGAGGAGGACCGGAGGAGGGCCGGAGTCCAATGAATGCTGAGACCAGAGGAGACAGAGATGAGAAGGTGCTTCAGCTGCATGGAGAAGAATCTGGAGGAGGAGTTCTGTCCTCCTCTTTGCTGCCAACTACTAAGCAAAGGAGGGGTACCTCAGCTGCAGGAGATGTCCGAGGGCCACGTGACATGGCTCAGCTGCAGGACCGTAGATAAGGGGGTACCATCAGTTCTCCTTTACGGGGTCCAGGCCAACAGGGGGGCCCAGGCAGCTGGATGAATCGGATGTGGGATGAATCGGATAAGGAGGTACCATCAGCTCTCCTGTATGGGGTCCAGGTCTGCAAGGGGGCCCAGGCAGCTGGATGAATCGGATGTGGGATGAATCAGATAAGGGGGGTACCATCAGTTCTCCTTTACGGGGTCCAGGCCAACAGGGGGGCCCAGGCAGCTGGATGAATCAGATGTGGGATGAATCGGATAAGGGGGTACCAATAGTTCTCCTGTACGGAGCCCAGGCCAGCAGGCGGGCCCAGGCAGCTGGATCAATCGGATGTGGGATGAATCGGATAAGGGGGTACCAATAGTTCTCCTGTATGGGGTCCAGGCCAGCAGGCGGGCCCAGGCAGCTGGATGAATCAGATGTGGGCAGAGAGAGTGATCAGCACAGTGGAGGGGCAATTATTGGAACTGATACCCTTGAACCGATCCCCTGGAACCGATCCCCTGTATGGCTCCCTCTGCAGCAGCTGAAAACTGGCTTCTTCTCTTCCTCTCGATGGCTTTCAGCTGCTGCAGAGAGAGCCATACAGGGGATCGGTTCCAGTAATTGTCCCCCACCACAACCATCACCCTCCATGTGCACCATATATTCCCCCTGCTGTCCAGGCCCCCCTGTGTGCCCCCACCCCTACAGTGCTTCAAGCTTCCCTCCTTTCTTTCCCACCAACAGCTGCAAGCACACAATAGGATCCTTCAGGATGGAGAGTGGGGGAAGGGTCCTGTAAATTTGTCACATTTACCAGCCCCTTCCTTTCCTGAATGAACACGATACGTGATCAGTACTGATCACTCACTGTGTTCATTCGTAACTGAATAATTTTTTTGGGGGGGGGGGGGGACCCTGTCAGGTTGGCTATATGGGGCCCCATGGTTTCTAACAGCAGCCCAGCTCGGCGGGCCAGATTCGACCCCTGGGCCTTGTGCTTGACACATGTGCACTACATAGTGTTGGCCCTTTTTGATTTACATAATATCCAAACCTCCTGTAGGTGGCAGTATACCCACACATTGAAGAACAGAGCGTGTGTCCTCCAATGAACCTGGGGAGAAAATGGATCTCCACCAATAAACGATGTAGGGAGCAAAATGCAATTATCAGCCAATTAAAGTTCCCTTTACTGAAGGTAGCAGATCACCATAAGTTGGATTCTGATTGGTTGTCACTGGGTGCTGAGCTTTGCACTTCCAGGACTTCTCGCCATTACTGTGCTTTCACGAATAAGCCGCTGACAGGAGGACTCTGGGAAAAGCAGAAAATCGTTTTAAAAAGTGGGAAATATTTTCTTACCTGCTGACTCTTTTTTTTCAAAATCCTATTCATAGTATTCATTGATAGGGAAATCAGAATTTTCTATGAAACGCAGGGGGCGGAGCTAGTACCCAGGAACACACTTGCTACATTTACACAGGGTCTGATTTTGGCCGGCTCAGAGAATACGCTCGCCGCGGGAGCCGACAATCGATTTGCTGAAAGAACCCCTTAGGATGCATTGTTATATTTATGTAAAAGAAAGTGCGGGAAAAGTGTCGACATCAGCAATGACATTTCGGATCACATTTTTCTACAGCAGACCGGAAAATTAAAGAAAAAAATGGTAAGCCGCACAATGATTTGCCCTGATTTACGGATTTTATAAATCAGCTCATTGTGTGTATTTATATCTGTAAGTGACCGGCAACAAATATCAGAATATATATTGCATTTGTTTGCCGGCAGATTTATTCTTCAATGGCTGAATGGTGTTATTATTGATGGGCGATGAGGAAGTGGTGCTGCACTGCCATCTGCTGACACCAACCATTCCTATCTTGTTTTCACGTGGAGGAACCCTTGAAACAACTTTCCAATGTCAGGGAACCCCTGATAATAATTACTACATGGTACTTAAGTGGGATAATCACCGGGAAGAATGTCCCTTACATTGGTGGGGTCCCTTACAGTCAGTGGGAAGAATGTCCCTTACATTGGGGGTCAGTGGGAAGAATGTCCCTTACATTGGTGGTCAGTGGGAAGAATGTCCTTACATTGGTGATCAGTGGGAAGAATGTCCCTTACATTGGTGGTCAGTGGGAAGAATGTCCCTTACATTGGTGTGGTCAGTGGGAAGAATGTCCCTTACATTGGTGGTCAGTGGGAAGAATGCCCCTTACATTGGGGGTCAGTGGGAAGAATGTCCCTTACATTGGGGGTCAGTGGGAAGAATGTCCCTTTACATTGGGGATCAGTGGGAAGATTGTCCTTTACATTGGTGATCAGTGGGAAGAATGTTCCTTACATTGGTGGTCAGTGGGAAGAATGTCCCTTACATTGGGGGTCAGTGGGAAGAATGTCCCTTACATTGGGGGTCAGTGGGAAGAATGTCCCTTACATTGGGGGTCAGTGGGAAGAATGTCCCTTACATTGGGGGTCAGTGGGAAGAATGTCCCTTACATTGGTGGTCAGTGGGAAGAATGTCCCTTACATTGGGGATCAGTGGGAAGAATGTCCCTTACATTGGGGGTCAGTGGGAAGAATGTCCCTTACATTGGGGGTCAGTGGGAAGAATGTTCCTTAAGATCATGTATCTTACATTGGGGGTCAGTGGGAAGAATGTCCCTTACATTGGGGGTCAGTGGGAAGAATGTATCTTACATTGGGGGTCAGTGGGAAGAATGTCTTACATTGGTGGACAGTGGGAAGAATGTCCCTTACATTGGTGGTCAGTGGGAAGAATGCTCCTTACATTGGGGGGTCAGAGGGAAGAATGTTCCTTACATTGCTGGTGTGGGAAGAATGTCCCTTACATTGGTGGTCAGTGGGAAGAATGCTCCTTACATTGGTGGCCAGAGGGAGGAATGCCCCTTACATTGGTGGCCAGTAGAAAGAATGTTCCTTACATTGGTGGCCTGTGGGAAGAATGCCTACCTGTCAGTGGTGATCAACGGAAAGAATGTTCCTTACATTGGTCAAGTTTACACCTCAAACTCATTGTTGTCTTCCTCAACACATTCTTGATCCATTTTTGCCGTGTGGCAGGGCGCATTATTATCCTGCTGAAAGAGGCCACTGCCATCAGGGAATACCTTTTCCATGAAGGGGTGGACTTGGTCACCATCAATGTTTAGGTAGGTGGTACGTGTCCAGTAACATCTGCATGAATGGCAGGACCCAAGGTTTCCCAACAGAACATCGCCCAAAGCATCACACTGCCTCCACCTACTTGTCTTCTGTGTCCATCTTCTGGTGCCATCTCCTCCCCAGGTAAGTGAATCACACACCCACCCACCATCCACATGATGAAAAAAAAAAAACATTCATCAGACCAAGCCACCTTCTTCCATCGCTCCGTGGTCCAGTGATGCTCACGTGCCCATTGTAGACCCTTTTGGCTGTGGACACGGGTCAGCATGACACCCTGACCGGTCTGCAGCTGCACAGCCCCATACACACCACACTGCGATGCCCATTGTTCTGCTTTTGACACATCAACTTCAGGGACATCATGATCACTTGCTGCCTAATATATCCCGCCCACTTGTAGATGCCATTTAATGAAATAATCAATTATATTCACTCGTTCCCTGTCAATCTAATGAAAAGCAGCCAAATCGTTGATTGGAGTGAGTAAATCTTCTACACATGAGATAGAAAGGCTTTTGTGCTCTCAGAGGTCCCTGCAATGAATGTAGCCTCTTTCATCACATGTAATATAACAAGGAAAAAGTACTGTACATGAAATAAATTGCCTTTCCAATTGGTGCAGCTCTCCCTCTGGAAATGGCGGGCGTTTTACATGCTCTCGCTCTACCTGCACACACACCCGCTACTTAGACGCCTTTAAATGCATTCTCAAATTGATCGGTTTCGTTCTTGAGATCCACAACACTTTTACAGCACGTCTCTTTGATGTCGGACAGAATTTCTCAGCTAAAATGAGCATTTATTATTATGCAGCTCAAAATGATTTTAATACGTGGATTGCACCGCCATAAGGACGCTTTTCCTAAAGGCATGTTTGAAGTTTCTGTTCCATCTTGAGTCAAGTTTTTCGGGTCCCCTCCATTTCCTAGACTTTTCCTGGCTGAGAGTGATTTCTTCCTTCAGAATTTCGCTACGTGATACCAGTGGATGGTTTGGCTACAAAGACAGAGACAAGTGTAGCGCCTAACCCCCCCCCCCCCCCAAAGGGTGTTTGGGTCCCCTCCATTTCCTCATTTCCTAGACTTTTTTTTCCTGGCTGAGAGTGATATCTTCCTTCAGACTCTCACTACATGATACTAGTAGATGGTTTGGCTACAGAGAAAGAGACAAATGTGGCGCCTACCCCCCCAAAGGGTGTTTGGGTCCCCTCCATTTCCTAGACTTTTTTTTTCCTGGCTGAGAGTGATATCTTCCTTCAGAATCTCGCTACGTGATACCAGTGGATGGTTTGGCTACAAAGAGTGAGACAAGTGTAGTGCCTACCTCCTCCCCCCAAAGGGTGTTTGGGTCCCCTCCATTTCCTAGACATTTTTTTTCCTGGCTGAGAGTGATATCTTCCTTCAGAATCTCGTTACGTGATACCAGTGGATGGTTTGGCTACAAAGAGTGAGACAAGTGTAGTGCCTACCCCCCCAAAGGGTGTTTGGGTCCCCTCCATTTCCTAGACTTTTTTTCCTGGCTGAGAGTGATATCTTCCTTCAGAATCTCACTACGTGATACCAGTGAATGGTTTGGCTACAAAGACAGACAAGGGTAGCGCCTACCCCCCCCCCCCCCCCCAAAGAGTGTTTGGGCCCCCTCCATTTCCTAGACTTTTTTTCATGGCTGAAATTTCCTTCAGAATTTCGCTACCCGTAGAATTCTTTTTTTGGCTGAGTGATATCTTCCTTCAGAATCTCACTACATGATACCAGTGGATGGTTTGGCTACAAAGACAGAGGCAAGTGTAGCGCCTAACCCCCCCCCCCCCCCCCAAAAGGTGTTTGGGCCCCCTCCATTTCCTAGACTTTTTTTCCTGGCTGAGAGTGATATCTTCTTCAGAATTTCGCTACGTGATACCAGTGGATGGTTTGGCTACAAAGACAGAGACAAGTGTAGCGCCTACCCCCCCCAAAGGGTGTTTGGGTCCCCTGACACAAGGTGTAGGCCACTGGTGCTGGGGAGGATATAAATATTTGGGACAGGCCATGTGCTCTCTCTCTCGCGCTGCTCCTGGGCTCTGAGGCCTGGGGAGGTGCTGCTGGATGTTGTTCTGCTGTTAGGCCCGATAGCCTACTGTAGTGGTCCTTCAGGTCATCTGTGGGAGTGCTTGTTTGGTGGTCCACCCAGGAACACAGCTGATGCGCTGAGATGGGGTCTACAGGCAGGGGCTTCTGTGCGATGTATTCAGGTCTTTCAGAGAACAGAGGATCACAGGATAACCAGTTAGAGCCAAGGTTGGGTGCCAGATGGGGATCGGAGCAGACGTAGTCAAGAGGGATAGCCGAGGTCATACACAGAGAGCAGGAGAGAAGATCCGTTAGACAAGCCGGGGTCAGGTCGGGGTTAAACAGGAAATCACGGATCACAATAGCACAGGAACAGGAACAAGGTACTGGGAAGCCAGAGATCAACCAGCACCTCAGAGTAGGGCAGGGCTTCCTTATAAAGGCCGTTTTTGGCGCCATATTTGAGCCGATGTGAACTTCTGCGGCCATGCAAGGTACTGGCAGGGGTACCAGGTCTCCTAACACCTCTGCCGAAGACAGAGCCCTGACATGGATGCAGCACATATTGTTATTTGTGAAGAGGTCCCATATGAACTCTCCTGGCAGCAGGCAATATATAGGCACATTTACAATTATCAGACAACTTGTAGATAAATCCTTTTGCATTTTTGAATGGCATTGTTTCATTATTTCAATGTATTTTACTACGCGTGGAGCATTGTTGGACAAGGTTGTCTTGACGTATAGGACATATTAATACAAAGCCAGTTGGAGTTGGTTCTTAACCAGGCTTAATTGTTTTCTTGGTGTTTATATTTCAGTTCAAGTTCTCAGACAGGGATAGGAGCTGTTGTGATCTCTCGCTTTCAATCCTGCTGAGACAGTTCCTCTTTTCTTTCCTTACAAGCAGTGAGCGTGCTCTCCCATACAGTCTGATCTCACCAGGAATCCAAATCACACCTCACATCCTCCCAAGGAGAAAGTTCCTGGTGAATAGTCTCTTTGCTTCTCCCAATTGTGGCCAGCTTTGTTCAGCTCGAAGAGGCATCAGTTCAGTCTTTTCCCCACACACCTGCTTGTTTCAAGACAGTGCTCTCCTCTTCTTTCAGCAGCCTGCCGATCTCTTCTCCTTGTTCTGTTTCACCAGCCAATCACCTCCAGGATCTAAACAGACCCAGCCAAGATGGCCTTCCTCTGCACTGGAGTTATTCCACAGACGAGTATTGCAAAGCAGTCTACTTAAAGATGGCTGCTGCACTTCTGCATTAATGAATATTCAGTTTAACCCTGTCCACACTTCAGAAGGATAATACAGCATCAACAAAGGCAGAAGCTGTACAGAAGTTATCCGCTGCAGTCCAGGATACGGCTCTATAAGTCCAGGGTATGCCATTTGGTATCCAAATGCAGCTCACGCTTTCTAAAGGAATAACTCATCTGCTCATAACTAATATTTTGGATCCTATGAGAGATGAAACATATTACCTCTGATCTTCATAAAATGAATAATAATTCCAGTCAGTTTGGTTCCCAGCAGTTGCAGAGTCTGGGAAGATTCTTTTGATGGCATGGCCCCCGGTGAGGTGATAATTGATTACCTTTATCTATAGCCTGAAGACTGCAGGATCTTGTCATGGACCCCGAGGGGGGTTACTATCAGAGACTCATTAGCAGAGAGTGTTAATTCCTTAGATGTCCGGACCCTGAGATGCCGATTCATATTCCGAATTATGAACATATAATTCCTACTTTCTATATCTAATAGGAATTAACCTTTCCATACTCCATCCAAAAGGAAAAAAAAGTTCTGGCTTTGGAAATTCTGCCACAAACCTGAATTCTCTTTGACCTGAATTCACCTTAGATTGTACGCCCCTCGGGGGCGGGGACTGATGTGAATGTACAATATATATGTAAAGCGCTGCGTAAATTGATGGCGCTATATAAGTACCTGAAATAAATAATAAATAAATCTGTCATCTAGCTACACAGTCAAGTTGAAAAAGAGACACGTCCATTGGGTTAAACCAGGGGTCTGCGAACCACGGCCCATGGGCCACGTCTGACCCGCTAGGAGATATTACCCGACACGCAGCTGGGGTCAGTGGCGGATCCTCAGACTTGGTACCAGGGGCGGACTGACAACTCATGGGGCCCCCGGGCAATAGGGGATCATGGGGCCCCTGTGTCCTTGCCCAAACTCAAAAAAGCCTATGAAAAAGGTACCAGGGGCATCTCATGGGGCCCTCTACTGACCCCCGGGCCCTCGGGCAGTGCCCGAGTTTCCAAATGATCAGTCCGCCCCTGCTCGGTATACAGACTTAGTACCCAGATAAGTACTTCTTCAAATCCACCCCCACCCGTAGTTTCCAGAGCAGGTACCTCCCTTTCAACCCCTACACTGTACTGTGTCATTGGTTGATGTGACTGCCAGCATCCTAGCAACCAATGACATTTATTCCCTGTAATTCATGGGAGGATGGGACTTCCTCTCTCCAGATCTGCTCCTCCTCCCAGCTCCCACCTTGCTGCTACATACCTACCTCCACATTGTAAGCTGAATTACAGTGGTAAGTGAGATTCTGATTGAGACAAAAGGGGGTTCTGATGGGAAAACGCATGTAAGGGGGACCCTGATGTAAGGG